CACTTCCATTGATAGGCAACATAGACAATAGTAAAAAAAAATTAGTGCAAGCCCAAGTATGTATCGTACGCTTTTTGGTGGTTTAGCCAGACTTTTCTGAACACACAAGGTTTGCTGCTCAAATTAAGTACACCTGAAAAATCTGTTCCAAAAAAGTTGGTGGTTCAAGCCGAGTCTCAAGGTTTTTTCCAAGTGGTGAACAGAATTTCCGAAGAATGTGCAGGAAGGCACGTCGCAACCACATTCATATTGGATCCATTTTCATGTGTTTTAAGGCTAAGAGAAGAGCATAAGTAACGTGTAGGGTAACGAAAAAATAGAAGAAAGAAATGAACAGTCAGCCAGATCGGACCCTCCATCATGGGACTATAATAAAACGTGAATGCCTTCCATGCCGCCGCGTACTCCAAAGTACCTCCCGGACCATGACTTTCGCTAGGACGATGGGAGGCCCTGTTGCATCACAAAGCTCGAAGGGTGAAGCCCAAGCAGCTGATCAAGCGTTTTCGGGATGCCGCACGCATTTCACTTCCATATAGATTCTGAGTGGACTCTGAAGGCGAACTGACCTATGCAGTAAGGAGTTGCGGGAGCAGCCAACTAAGGAGTCGGTGTTTTATTCTCCCAGCCGAGTCTGGAAACATTTGCTGTCCCGGGAGAGATGGAAAGCTCGGTTGGCTTGGGGGAGTGGTGATACGGGTTTTGACTCCCTTTGCTGGGTAACATATAACACCGTGAAGAGCTGTGGTGTCTATCGCAGTGATAGGCAACATATAGCTCTGTTAAGGTGCCAACGGTGGGAAAAATTTAATTGTTCGAGCGGTGTGCGTCTTTCCAAGTGAACAGCATACTGATTCTTAGGGCAGTGCCATGTCGCTCTCCTCGATAGGCAAATTTAGCTCGGTGAAGCGCATCCGTCTCACAACCAGTGATAGGCGACAAATATTAGGTTGGACGGAAAGTCCTGCGACACTGAAATTGCTTCTAGAAAAAGACCAAAAACATTTCGATTGTTTTCATCCCTGATTAGTGAAGACTGTCCTCTGGAGTTTCTGCGCATGGGTGTATCATGCGCAAGTTTTCAAAGCTTAAAAGTCCCTCAGAGGTCGAGGTACTTTTCGACCTATCCCATATTATGAGTTCCTGTAGGGCCACTCAGCCGTAGTCGAGGAAGCTAACACCTACGTTGTCTTGAGGAAGGATATCGCTTGCCATGGCAGAGGGTAGCTTTTGCATCAGCGCTTCCAGGACTTATTCAACTCGGAGGTAGGCAATGTATAGGTCGGCCACCAGCACAGAATGACGGCCCTTTACTCAAGCTTCTTGAGGCGCAGCCGAACGTAACCACCAGTAAGTTGGCAACCTCTCTAGGCTCCACCTGACTGACAACTGCCATGCTTTCCGCATCTCGGTTATCGGGGAAATGGAAGAATATTCGTGAGACCTTTTGGTTGTTGGTGGCGAGTGGTGG